GGAGTGGACATTGATTAAGGTTGGTTGAACCACTATAAACTTATTATGTCCTCTTTCTAATTTGTTTTTCTTTCAATCTTTCTAGTTTCTGCACTTTTAATTTCCTACATTAATTTTATTTCTCATTGCAAGCTCCAGATAGTTTAATTTGTGTTAGCAAAAATTTCATACTCCACTTAATTTATTTTTATTCAAATTTAAAGGAAAAATAAATAAATACTAACATTTAAAATGATTTCGCTTGTGTTAGTTACTCATCAAGATTTTTTGTCAAAAAATATTATTTTGCGTAAAATAAAAATAAAGAGGATAGGTTTGGTTAAAGTACTTTTAAAAGTAACAATTCACTCCCCCTCTTAGTGCACCTAAGTATAGTTTGATGTAGTCTTAAAGCCTCCCCAAACTTTCAAGTGGTGTCAAAGTGGGTGTTGAAATTCACAATTTTAAAATCCTCAAGTAAAGATCTTATGGCGCATTTTGGAAATAGAAATAGTGCGGAGGGTTGTTGCATAATCCATTCACCTCTATTTGAAAATATTCCTTTTAATTTTTTTTAAATTGCATGTCTACATTTCTACAATCCATCAACTTTAGAATTTGGCATATGATTCAAATTGGTTACTCACTTCCATCCTAAATAGTTAATGGAGTAAAAAAATAATGTTACATTTATTAAATTGAGTCATGAGGATGGAGAACTTGCTCAATTCAATGCAAAATGTTTGAATTATTTTTCCTGTGGTTTAAAATCTGTAGATTATATGAGAGTGTTTTTTTGTACTACAGAAAAGGAAATATGGGATAGACTATGCATCAATTATAAGGGAACTAGTGAAGATAAATAATCTAGGTTGAATATTCTACTACATTCTATGAACTATTTTGCATTAAACCTAGTGAGACTACATATGAAATATATACTAGATTTTCTTAGATAGTGGCATCCCTACATGTACTAAGTAGAGAACTTTATAATTGAGAAAATGTTAACAAGACTTTATGTTGCCTACCTAGTGCATATGATGGTAAGACCAAAATCCCCTTTAAAGGGCATTTTGATCATTTTGATCCCAAGTCAACCTTGGGTCAAATTAGGTTAAAAAAGGTGTAGGTTACTCTTCAAAAGGTCATGAAAAAGGTCCTAAGTGTGGTTAGATGGTTTGGAAAGACTCCCAAGGTCAATTCTATGGAATGGCAAGTCAAGTGGCATAGATTATAAATAATTAAAGATTTTGCAGCCTTTGGGAAACAATCTAATTTCTAGGGCTAGGGACCTCAAAATGGTTTTAAATTTGGTGGATTTATCTTAGAGGTATATCTAATCAAGATTCTATTAAAATAACCCAAATTAGATGCCATTTGAATGGGTTTCAAGGTGATAGAAGATTCACCTAGAAAGGGTTTCAGGACTAAGACCCTTAACCCTGGAATTTGACATGGAATGTTAGATTTTTATTGGATTTTTGAGTTAACTAGCAAAGTTCAGATTTTCCACAATAATGAAAACTACATGAATGATTGAGAGTGATTGGATATGATTTTAAGGTTGATTAAAAGTTTGTTGAATTGAATTGAAGGGTGTAATAGAGTTTGGTTAGACTTGGATTTCTTTTTGACTAGGACCTATATGGCTAAGAAGTGGACATTTTTTAATCATTAGGTCACTAAAAAGAAACCCAAGTGGTTTGTAGTGACCTAACACAAAATGCGAGCAATAACTCCTCGAAGTCCTCAGCTTCAGGAATTGTACAAACAAAAAGTGGGTCTCCTTTTGCACCCATAGTAAGATGGAGAAGCCTTTATAGACTCAATTTCACTAAAACTAAGGAACTAGAGTGTTAGAAGCTATGTCACCTTCCTCGGTGATGGAAGTGAACCTTGAATCCTTTTTGTCCCTCTTGGAGAAGGCAGAAAACCTCGAATCCTTTTTCTCTCCCTTAGAGATGGTAGAGAACTGGAATCCTTTCACAGGCAGGGATCCTCAAATCTTTTTTCTTCCTCTTGGAGAAGTCAGAGTACCTTGAGGACTTGACCAAGAAGCCTCTCTCCTAAGAGACCCTTTAAGAACTCACCAAGGCCAAAGGAAGAGCAAGTTTTTCTAACTCAGAGTAACCGTGTGATCCCCTAACACTCCTCCCTCACACTCAACCACACCTCCTTCCTCTAAAACCCTAGATTTATTTCATAAGGTTCTCTCTTAGACTACCTTAAGTAGTCACAAAATCCTTTCCTCATTACTAAGAGATTCTCAAAGCTTTTCATAAGTACCGGGCTTTAAGAAACCCTTAAAATTTAAGTTAGTCATCACTGTTCATACAATATGACTTGAGTTTATACATTACGATCAATTTAAAAACTAGACCCATCCAATATAATATAAATAGTTATTCAAATGCATTATTAACTTTTTGAACACATCATACAGTACAATCCAAAGAACATCTAATACAATCTGTTAGTGTTCTCTCTATTCATACCAAAATGATTCTCAGGATGATTAAAAATCTAATCTATATATCGTCCCATACTACTAACATTATAAAGTATAGTTAGTTGATTTCAAGTAGGTCATCCAATACGATATGAATATCATTCAATAGAATTAGTTCAAAAATCATGATTTTTTATTGATCTTTAGGATGACCAAATTTTAACTCTATCAATCATATGGTACGATCAATATTATATATATTATCCGTTATCATTAATTAAACCATGATTTGTTTGACTAATTATGAAGGTTATGTTAAGTAAGATTTTAAATTTTAGTAAATTATGAATTAGATCGTATAGTATAATTAATTCAAAATTTGAATTTTGAAAATCTTACTTCATTTATTTAGCCATTAGTGTTTTCAAATCGTAATGAATCGTACAGTATGATCCAAATCATACAATATGATTAGTTTACAAAAACTAATTGTTTAATTAATTGTTAAGATTGTTCTTTCTATAATGATCGTTTAGTATGATTATAAGTTATACAATATGATTAATAGAAAAAAAATTAACTTTTATATTTTATCTCACTCCTCGTGTGCGTGTGTGCACGGACACCTAATTGCATACACTCTTATGTGGCCAAAATTAAGAAATTGAAAATAAATAAAAATAAAATTATAAACTTTATTTACTTGGTATTCATATTGTACCTATTTTTGAGCTTTCAATAGCCTTGATCAAAGTATGTCTTACATGCAATGTTGGTGCTCACAGATAAAATAAATATCTAAAATATTTAATGAGAAAGTTATAATTCAATCAACAATATTTGTCATCATTAAAATTATAAACTAGGGATTTTAGATTGCAATAATCTTTCCCTTTTAATGATGGAAAATTATATTGGTTGATAGGCAAAATAATTTTTTTTTCTCCTAAGCTCCCCCTCACTAGATGATAGATTTAAAATTTAGGTGTTACATTTTTTTTTCTTTTTTTTTAATGAAAGATAAAAGAACAAAGAATAACATAAAATAAAGTAAAATAAATATAGGATTCTATTAAATTAAAACATACAACCAAATATATATTTTCTCTTCCTTTCGACATCACCATAGAGTGGAGAAACATAAAATAAAGTGAATAATAAAAGAAGTAAAAATATTTAAATATAACAACAAATACTAGAAATAAGATAGATCTTGATCAGGTGGTGATGGTAGTAGTTGTTGAATGTATTTGTAGATGGAGGTGAAATGATCTTCAATTTGAGAAAACTTTTCTCCAAACCATCCCATGCCTTCTTGATGTTGTTATTATTATTATTGAATATGGCAGTTCAGTCGAGTTTATAGTCACTCGAGCCACTAAATTATGTCAAAATGAGGGAAGGCAGAGTAGGTAGGTGCTGGTGGTGGTATTAGTGGAGGTCCACCGGCAGGAGTAGCTTCCCCTTCTTCAACAATCTCTGGCTAATCATGCTCATGCCCCCGATGGACAAGAATATGGAAAGAGGCATCCGTATAAAAAATGGGAACATTATCAAGAGGAGCAGTATAGTTGATTGGGTATTTTTTTATCTTGGACATACCCTATGATTTGTTCTAATGCAACATTTTGTTTTCTTCCGATGTTGGGAGGTCAAATAGGAGTTATATTTTGTTTGTAATCATTTATCATCTAGGCTTCATCGAATAAAGTATCTAACATTACTAGGTAGGTAACTATGGAAAGTGGCGGGGTTATGTTAACCTGATCTGCATTTTTGGGTATAATTTTGGTTCTAAAGAAATGCTAGATAACCTGGGCATTCTAATTTAGCGTGTGGACTAACCGTTGATGTTGTTTTATGGCCACATTCCTAGATGTCATGTTTACAGAACTCCAGTCAAAGTTAAATATAGAGATTAGGGATTTTGTAAGAGGCCCTTTGGTAGAAAGACTGATGTGTTTCCCCAAATCTTCCTTGGTAATCTCTACGGGTTGTCATTAAACATCTGAAGTCATTGAAGAAGTTTCTATATTCAGCCTAAGGTAAGCTAATAATTCTTAAAGGAGTTCATAATTGAAAGGAAAAGCTAATGTGATTAGAATTTGAAGAGTGGTTGAGGTAAAGAGGTTCATCACCTCTATGTTAAGAGTTGGTTGATTTAACATTCTAGATGGGGAGATATAAGCCTCATGTAACTTGTAGTAGGCATCTTCATCCTTTGCCGATAGAAAAAGAATGTCAAAGTGGAAAGAGGAGGAGTAGCTCCCTAGGTCATTTTACTATGTTTTCTTCTACCGGCCATTGAAGGTTTTAGATTGGAGAGGCTAAGAGTTTGAAGGAAGGCCGAGTGGAGTGATTCAAACCTTTGAATAGCACTCCAATTTATAGATTTCCACAAATTGTATTATGATATAATATTGCACATTACTATAAGATTAGTTAAATAATCTGGATGACATGTCAAAAAAGTGGTCAAATTGTACAAAACGATCGGGTATCATACTAGAAGATCTTAATTTATTCATTCATCCCATGAAGTGGTATGAATGACTTTTGACATAATGCATCATACAATATGAATACTGTCCAAAGCTGCGGTGTAAAGTATTAAGGGTTTTCCCGAAATAGGAGCTGCTAGGACTGGAGGTGTTAATAAATATTGTTTTATGCTTTCAAAGGCATTTTGACACTTTTCATCCCAAAGAAATCGGGCATCTTTCTTACATAAAGCAGCAAATGGTTGACACCTACCAGACAAGTTAGAAATGAATCTCCGTAGATATGCCAACCTACCTTGAAGAGATCTTAATTGGGTTAGACTTTTAGGAGGTGGCATATCTAAGATGGCTTTTATTTTGGAAGGATCAATTTCTATACCTCGGTGTCTCACTACGAACCCTAAGAATTTCCCTGAAGTAACTCCGAAAGCACATTTCAAAAGGTTCATCTTTAGGTCGTAGCGGCGCAACCTTTCAAAAATGACTCTCAGATCATGAAGGTGGTCTTCCCTTCGACGACTTTTGAAAACCAAATCATCGATGTAACATTCCACTTATTGGTGGATTAAATCATCGAAGATTTAGGTCATAGCTCGCTGGTAAGTTGCACCAGCATTTTTAAGCCCAAAGGGCATGACTTTGTAACAGAAAACCCCTATAGGTGTTCTGAATGCAGTAAATTTTTCATCTTCAGGAGCCATCTTGATTTGGTTATATCCAGATGAACCGTCCATAAAAGAGAAAATTGCATGCTCAGAGGCTATGTCTACCATGAGTTCTGGTATGGATAACGGGAACTCATCTTTTGGACATGCCTTATTCAGATCCCTATAATCAATGCATACGCGAATTTGACCACTTTTCTTTTTTACTGGGACGACACTAGCCAACCAAGAGGGATATTTCTCCTCTCGAATAAAGCCTGCATCGATTAGTTTCTTAACTTCAGTTATCACTTGTTGTTCAATTTCTAAGCGCATGCGTCGTGGGGCTTGCTTGACAGGAATTATGTCAGGTTGAATTTCAAGTTTGTGAACTGCTATTTCTGGAGATAATCCGGGCATTTCATCATAACTCCAAGCGAAGCAATCCTTAAACTCTGAAAGTAACTTGACTAAGTTATTTGACTCATCCTCGTTCAATAAGGCACTTATGAACGTCGGACGTGGATTTTCTTCATTACCAAGGTTAACTTCTTTTAGTTCATCAATAGTTGACTGGATTTCCTCCTCAAGTTCAGGAGGTGCTTCCTTAACTTGAAAGTCATCCGAATCATCTAACGCTTCTAAACAAAATTCATTAAGATTTTCAATGTCCTTTATAAAAAGATGATCAGATCCTACATTGTTAGTAATTACTAAGCAATAATCATCATCATCAAATGGACAAACAGTATTAAAGCCTAGTCCTGCTTTTGACTTTGGTTTATGAAATTTCGTATTCCAAAGACTTTCAAAGGACTGAGCTTGACGTTTAGTCCAAGTAGATGGGGCAAGACCTTGCTCAATTAAATTTTTAACACAATAAGGATACCAATCAAAAGGGAGTTCCACTATTTCATTCATAAAAGGATCATCAATGTGTACATCAGTTTCATCATTTTTGCTAGAAGAAGGAATAAACTTAGCAGTTTTACAATCATCGCTCAAAGCAGGTGAAACTTTAACTGCCAACCCGGCTATACTATCTTGAGATAGTGGGGTTAGAGCTAAAGTTTTCACATATCCTTTAAGTCTTTCATAGGTAGACAAATCTGAATCATCCTCTATATTTGCCTGAATTTTATCTTCATCACTGTCATTTTCCAAAGAGATCTCAAATTTTGGCCTTTTGTTACCATTTTCACCCTTCAGTACACATGATTCATCATCTGAACCAGATTCTAACTCGATGTGTATCGTAGGGTTTTGCTTTTGTATACTTTCATACATTGCACTTTCATGATTTTGCCATCCTCTGCCTCTACCTCGCCCTCGTTGGGTCATCCTACCACCTCTTTGTGAGAGAGGAGCAGGATGCCAACGAATGCTATCTTCGAGGCAGGGATATACTTCATCTATTTTTCCTTCTTTTTCCTTTTCATTTTTGTTTTCAAGTGCAATTTCACTTTTATCCAATTTGAGATCTTTGGAAACAACTGTTTGCTTTTTAGGCAAATAATAAGCAGCATCTTCATAAATTCCTACTTCATGAATTGAGAATGGTTGTAAATCTCCCTTAATACAGTGCTCAATACCATCTCGGATGTACTTGATGCACTGATGTAGGGATGAAGGAACCATCCTATATTCGTGAAGCCAGGGTCTACCTAAGAGAGCATTGAAGGATGTTGGAGCGTCTATAATATGAAACTTAGCTTCAGTTTTAAAATCTTCTATCTCCAACAACAAAGTAACTGAACCCAAAGCCCTCTCGCCATTTTCGTTAAAACCCCGTAAGATCATCTTATCTGAGCTGAGCTTACGGACGTCTATTTTCAAATAGGCAAGAGTTCTTAGAGTCATAATGTTAACTGATGCACCAGGATCTACAAGGATACGTGACAATCTGAAGTTATCTATGTTCACTGTTATGTATAGTGGACGGTTGTGATCAGCCGTTCCTAAACACAGATCTTCATCAGAAAAGGAAATTTCAGGAACTCCTCTGGAACAAAGAGCTTCATCAGGCTGTGCAGCTGCTAACTGAGCCATGCAAATATCTGGATCTAACAATGCTTTGATTAACGCTTCCCTCATTTCTTTGGAAAGGATCAAGGCGTCGTAAATGCTCAGTTTGGCAGGTAGCTTCCTGAGATGAGCTAGGACATTGTAATCGACCTTGGGCATTCCACTCTCAATTGGACTCTGAAAAGGAACGGGTTGAGGTGGAAGAGAAGATTTTGGTTCGTCAACAACTTGTTTCCCTTTATCTTCAGAAGAAGTATGAGGTGGTAACACTTTGCCACTACGAAGCTTGATTTCCACTATCTCTTCAGAAGAAGCGACAGGCAGGTTATCTTCTTCGACCTCAGCTAATTCTGATTTTATTTCTGTTAAATCTTCAGAATCAGACATCTCGGCTTCAATACAGATAGGCATACCCTGCAAATCAAGAGCAGGGACATCACTATCTGAATAATAACCAAGAGAATGTTTTAATTCTTCAAAATTAAATTGATCATGCAGAGAATCATTTTCAGGTGTAATTTTTAAGTCATCCGTAACATCATTATCAGAAATAGACAAGATATAAGCAGAATCCTTTTTCATTGATTCATCATCATCACACTTAACAAAACAAAAGTCATCTAAGATAAGAGGATTGAGGATAATAATCTCCCCATCCGAAGAAAACACAACTCTTCTAGATACATGACAATCAACACTATTAAAAGCAACAAAACGATTTCTAGTGCCCTCCTTCTCCTGAACTATAGGACCCTGGCTGACTCGGGCTTCCTTAAGCTCTGAAGATGGAGTTATCTCTACATCATCTTCTGGAACTATCAGATCAACCTGGAGAGGCTTCTGAGCTCCCAAAGACTCCTGAAGAGAAGAAAAGTAAAGTTTGTTTAGATATTTCTTTGAAGAACGGGATAAAGCTATATCCCAAGTTGAATCAGAATCTGAAAAGGAAGTAGGAACGATAGGCTCACCAGTCACACACTTAGCTGATCCCTGCCCTGGATCCACTAAGTATTCCTTGGGAATCACTACAGCTCCTAATTTCATGTTTCTGTCGAGCCATTCTTTAAAAGTGACACATTCTTCAAGCTGATGGCCCAACATCTGATGGTAAGGGCAATAATTAGGGTGATCTGACTTACCCACTTCTTCTGGCCTTCTAGGTGCAGGCAACTTGAAGTCTGGCTTTTTAAGAAGATTTTTCAATATCTTCTTTAAAGTCTCCTTCTTAAAGGGATAAGTCTTACCAATTAATGCATTGAATTTCTCCCAATTTTCCCTTCTTTCTTCTGGAGTAAGGTAAGGTCGCTGTTGGTTAAACTCTGGCTGAATCCGAAGTGGCGGATACTGTGGTGGCGGATACTGTGGTGGCGGATACTGTGGCCTTTGATACTGCTGATTATAAAACTGAGGAGGGGATCTTTCTGTCTGCACTTTCATTGGCTGATTTCCCTTATC